GAGTGCTATCCTTCACCCCACCAGAATCCTGCACCCGTGTCCAGAATCAGCCCTGGGCACTCCCCAGGGCACTCCCCAAGGGGCAGTGGGTCATGAGACCTCTTTCCCAAAGGCCTGGGACCTCTCCAGGTCCAGGCCAGGCCAGCTGTGGGCAGGCGTCCACTACACAATCCAGTAACATCGTGTGGTGAGATCAGCTTTCTGGGGACTCCTGACGGGGTGGGGAGCCACTGGCCTCAGAGGCCCACAGGGCTGGAGGGGGTGGGGACTCACAGCCCTCCTGGAGCCTGGCCGGCTGGGACCAACCTCTAACTGACAATCTGAAGGACAGTCCTGCTCAGCTCATTTGCTTAAAAACCAGCAGCCTGCCAAAGCGTCTGAGGGCCTCTGGCTGGGACAGGAAGGCAGAACCACAGCCCCTTGGATGGGCAGGCTGTGGCCGGGGCAGTGCCGAACCCATCGGGTTTGGCCGCAGAGGCGCCAAGGGGTACAGGTAACAGCCTGGGTGCTGCCCATCTCCCTCGATGGCAGGAGCCCCCCACCCCACTTCTGCATCCAGTTCCAGTTCCACACTGGAGCTCAGAGCACCAGGGCTGTCGCCCTGACCCTCAGGAGTACAGGACACTCACGCATCTGTGGCATACAGACCATCACTGATGGTGACCCGCCCCGGGATCCAAAGAGTCACCCAGGCACCGACCCCAGCATTGCCAGGAGGAGCAGGCCCTGCTCCTGGCTAGCCCCCCGCAGCCCCAGGCCTGGGTGGAGCCCCGTCTGGCATCTTCTCTCCTCGACGCCCCCCAACCCCCCCCACACCAGCCCAGTGAGGGCTGTGACCAGCCTCTAGCAGAAAGGATGGTCCTACCACAGTCCCTGGCCAGCAGCCGGTCAGACCTAAGACAGTAACAGGACAAAACCAGCAGGCAGGGAACCCGCTGTCTACACACGACACACCCAGACACACTGCCTATTGAGACAGGGTCTCGATATGTAATTCAGGCTGGCCTTGAACTTGGGGTTCTCCTGCCTCAGCCTCCACAGGGCTGGGTTTACAGGCTGAGGGCCAGAGAGCCCTGGGCAGAGCTGGGACCTCTCTGTCAGCTCCGCTTCTCCACAAGCCCCTCGAGGCCAGGCAGCCCGCAGTCCCAAGGGTTACCCATGCTCGGGCCCCTCCTTCCCAGGGCCCTGGTCTTCCCACGATGCCTAGGCTCACATTGCCTCAGTCGCCCTGTGAGTTAAGTAAATTTTTTTCTTCAGTAAGTAATAGATCACCATCCACAGCAGAAAAACCACATCGCTTGTCCAAAATACTCAGTAGAACTTAAGACAAGGCACAGCCATTGGAGACTGGAAAATGCCTTGGCAGGAGACCAGAGCCTGGGATGGGCCAGAAGGGCGGGACACTTTTCTTGCACTGCACCCTGGCTCCTCTGAGGCCCCTGGTGGGTACCCCTAGTCTAAGGGGAAGGGCTCAGCATAACAGTACACCCCCACCCCAACCCTCAGGTGCCCCTCCCTGCTCCACAGCGAGGAAACTGAGGTACAGGGAGGCACCCATTCGTCCCCGTGAAGGTCAAGCCGTCTGGAAGCTGGGAGACAGTGGTCACCCTCTGGACAGGCAGGGTTCTCTGGGCACGGTCAAGTCTTTGGGGACATTTCTGGGTCACAGCAGTGAGGAAGGTGCTGCAGGCCCTGGTAGCGGAGGGGCAGAAGCTGCTCCAACAGTGACGGACATCCACAGCCAAGGCCATCGGTGACTCCACGGTTTGCAGCCCAGAGGCCTGACCAGGCTCCTCAGCACTCATGATGGGGCCACCCACTCCTGGGTGGCCAGAAGCCTTGGTCTCTTCCGCCAATCGGCAACACTGTCCCCCTCCTGGACACCTGGGGGTCACAGCAAATCACGGGACCCAAGGACTCGGAAGGGACTGCTCTAAGACCACCCCGCTGGGCAGGGGTGCTGTGCACCCTCCCTGTCACCCACACTTTCCAGGGCCCCGGAGAACAGGGCAGGACCTGCCGCTCCAGACACTCACACCACACTGCCCTTCCTCACAGCCACTGTGGGGCCTCTGCCCTCAGAGATGCACCCCGGGGCTCCAGCCTCCCCTTGGTTCATGCCACACCCCAAGGACACAGGGCAGCCCTGACTCCTCCCGTGCGGGGGCCCTGGGCTCAGGTCTGCAGAGTCTGTGCAGCGGTGGTCCTGGCGGCTTCCCAGAGGAGGAGGCATGGAGAGGCCGGGGAGCCGGGCCCCTGCCATCCTGAAGTGACTCTGCTCTCCTACCTTCCCGACAGCCTGAGGGCAGGCTCTGCTTCCCTTGAGCGGTACTGGGTACAGACCTGGCCCTGACACCCAGGGAGGACCACGCTGGACGGGCAGCCCCTCGTCCCACCCCCAACTCGTCTCGGGGCAGGTGCAATATGGGAATCCAACCACTTCCCAGCCACCAGGGAGGACCTGCGCCTCAGAACACAGCACCGAGACTCAGGCCACACAGTAACCAGACAAAGGGACATGGGGCTGGGACAAAGCCAGCAGAGGACAGGAGGGAGCGGCGGCCACCATCCTCCAGGACCCTCTCCTACCTGCATCTGCCATCTGCAGCCACCACGTGGCACCAACGGGTGCCCAGCTTGTGCTGTGCCAGGCTACCAGCACAGGACCAGCCCTTCATTCTCGCTGGTCACATGTTCCAGAGACAGTGATGGCCCCGTGGTGACAGGGGACACTTAGTCCAGCTTGCATCTGCCCTGCGCTCCTCACCTGCCCGGCCTCTGTGCTGCCAAGGCCAGATCCTCCCTGTGGCCGCTCACTTTGTGCCCAGTGGGAGGACGTGGCCTCCAGTCCCCAGGCCCCTCCCCACCCACCCTGCTGTCCACCGGCCTGTGCTTGTCTAAGGAGACGTCACTCCTGGGTGGCACGAGTGTCAGGCCATGAGGGTCAGGCCGACCCTCGGCGCTCGGCAAGTCCTGGGGGAAGGGGTACACGGTCAGTGGCTGAGGGGGCAGGGAGCTGGGTGTAGTATCTGCGAGCAGGCAGAGCTGCCACCCCTGAGACCTCGATGCCCCCTCTCGGCTGGGTCTCAAAGTTTTGTCATTGCGGAAAGTTCCACTCCCAGCCCCTCGGGCAGGAGCCCCGAGGCCCTGTCTGGTCCCAGCCAAGCATGGCTGGCTGAGTCGGGGTCACCAAGCTGGCTCTGGCACAGGGCTGGACTGTCAGTCCTTGCCATGAGGGCTGCATGGGGGCAAACCTTGGTGACCGGAGAGGACACTGCCGTCAGTCCCGGGATCCTGGCTGTACCTACCACACTCAGATCTCCACAGGGCTGGAAGGACTCTGGGTACAGGAGATGGAGACAGTGACCAGCCCGCCACTCCCCACACCACAGCCCTTCTGGAAGGCCACCTGGCCCAAGGTCCTCCTGCCAGCCCGCCACTCCAGGAGCAGGCAGGGCAGGGAAGACGTAAGTGATCAGTCGGCTCACCCTACACCTCTCCTGCCTGCACTCAGCTGTCTGGGTCAGGGAAAACTCCCAGGAGTCCATTTCACCTTCCCGGAACTGCAATAGACCAGGCTGGGACGCAGCCAGCACGCCGCCTCCTCCAGGAAGCCCTGGAGCTCTCTCTACGCCCTCCACACAGACAGCCTGTCCAGCTCAGGGCAAGGGGGAGGCTTTAGTCTGTGCACTGGGACAGATGGCTCTGCCACGCTGCCCTTTCCTCAGGGGTCAGTGCTAGGTCTGGGGTCCCTTGTCACCTCCTGGAAGCAGAAAGAGGACAGGGAGGCTGGAGGGGAGAAAGGAGGGAGCAGGAGAGAGCGGGAGGGCAGAGGCCAGCGGGGAGGAGAGGCTGGACGGCAGGGGCTGCCCAGAGCCTCCTCTCCCAGAGAGGGAAGCGAGGGAAACAGCGCTGTCACACAACCCCGAGCGCTGGCAGGGCTTTTATGTAACCTCGGCCTCCCCACAGAACAGACCAAGCGCCCGGCCAGGCACCTCGGGCTGTGTGCCCACACTGCCCTCCCTGGGGGCGTCGCAGCCCAGAACCAGTGAACTTCCCTCCTTCCCTCTGTGTGTCCCAGAGCCCATGTGCACCACAGAGCCTGGGGAGGACCTGGGATCTGGGGTGCTGAGCTCTCGCAGTGTGCTGGTGCCCCCAACCTTGGAGGGCACTAGTGTCCTCAGGTCACCCAAAGGCCGGCCTGCTACCCCACGCCACAGGACAGGGTCCTGCCACATTCCTGGCACCCTCACAGAGCGCTCGGATCCCACCCGCCACCCCCAACCTGCACCAGTGCTTCCCTGGGAAGGCTGGGCAGACGGGAGGCCTCCGTCCAGAGACCCAGCCCTCGCCCTGGCCTCAGGCCCAGCAGCCGAATCAGCCGGCACCGCACACATCCTGTGATTCCCAGGGGTGAGGCACTGTCCTCCCACTGCAGCCCTCGAAGGACCTCTCCAGACAGCAATGCTGACCCCCTCTGCACCCCCAGGAGCCCACGCTGTTAAGGCCTCAATGCCCTGCCACAACCTGGGTCCGCGTGGGTAGCTGACCTGCCCAGCCCAGCCACACACCTCACACTTCTCCCACAGTGAAACTTCCCAGCACCCACCAAAGCCTCCCTAAATAGGTCACTATTCCCCTGTCCTGGGCACTGCCCCTCGTCCCCTACCCCCAGGGAAGGGGAACAAGCCCTCCCTACTCTGCCACCCACAGCTCCTGTGGGCACCACCTCCCCTGTGGTGGTCCTAAGAGCTGCTCAGAAGTACCCCGAGTCCTGAGGGGGTGCAAGCTTAGAGCCATCATGGGAAGGTGGGGGCGGCTAACCCAGGAGTGAATGAGGGAGCTGTCCCCAGGCCGTGGCCTCTGCCGGACAAGCAGGAGCCCTCTCCCCTTTGCTTGCCATCTCCATGGTCCCCTCCCAAGGACTCTGGGGCTTCCTCCCCACTGGGCCCGTGGTGGCCTCACGCCCCCGACCCCGGGGTCCCGGCTCATCCGCTCACCGTTAAGCTGGTTGTAGACCACCTCCTCCAGGTGGTCCAGCCGCTGCAGGATGGCCTCGCGATCGGCCAACGCGCCGGCCTTGGTGAGCCGGCTGCGCACCCGGCGGTCGGCGGCGCGCACGACCTGCACCAGCGCCTCGGAGCGGGCCTGCAGGCGGCAGTACACGGAGAACAGCACGATGCCCACGAACACCAGGATGTTGACCGTCAGCAAAGTTTTGATCCTCCTGGCCACCGCCATGGGCGCGGCGCGGCCGGGGCCGCCTCCCCGCGGGGCCTCGGGGGGCCCGGGGCGCGGGAGCCTGGGTGCGGCCGGCCCGGGACATGGGGGGCGCGGGCGCTGTCCCTCAGCACCGCGGCCCCGGCTTCGGGGCGCGCGAGGGGCGCGCGGGGCGGGGGGCGCGGGGGGCCGCGCGCATCGCGGAGCCGGGGCGGGGTGGGCGCCGCGGCAGCCCGGCCAAGCGATCGGTGCTCTGAGCTCTGCCTCCGCCGCCCGGCCCCGCCCGCCCGCCCGCACCGGTGCGCAGTGACGCGGCCTCCTCCGCAGGCGCCGCGCCCGCCTCCCCGCGCCGGTGCGGTGCGTTCGGGCCGCCGCGGTCCGGGGCTGGGAGGAGCCGGAGGAGCCCGAGGAGCCTGCGACGCGGGGAGGAGCCTCGGGGTCCTCTGCGGCCGCGCGCACTAGCAGGTGGGGGCCTTCGTGCACGCGCGGGGCGTCTGCCCGCCCCCTGCCCGGCCCCAGGGACCAGAAAAGAGGAAAGGAGGAGACCTGCTCTGCGCCAGACCCGCCCCAAGCAGGTCCCAAGCTCTGTGCCCCAGCGCCAGAGAGACGCAAGCTGCCCTCCTCTCTGGTCTGGCCCCAGAGAGGGCACATGAAAGGTCAGAGGCACACAGCAGCCTGTGAACTTGGGCGCGGAACTGACCTTCTGTCTGCCCTGCTGGCCACTGTTCCCAGGCCCCACGGTGGTTTCTGACATAGCTGGTACTCAGTAAATATTTGTAGAGTAAATAAATGATGGTCTCTTTATGCTGAGTTCTTGATACACAGAGTAAGACACTGCCCCAAGCCTTTACAGCTCTTGGCTGTGTGTGTGTCTGTGTGTGTGCCCGAGTAGGGATGCATGTGTGATGTGTTCTCGTCTGTGCATGTGTGTGCAGTATCTGTGCATGTGTCTCTGTGTCCATCGTGCATGTGACTGTACACATATTTGTGTGTACATGTAACTCAGTGTGTACATACTTCTCTGCGTGTGTCTATGCAGATGCACGTGTATGTGTCTGTGTGTGCATGCATCTCTTCATGTCCATGTGCTTCTGTGCGTGCATGTGTCTTTGCACCCATGTGTCTGTTTTTTCCATGTGTGGGTGTATTCATGTGCACATGTATCTTTGCATGCATGCATCTCTGTGTGTGCTTATGTCTCTGCATGCATGTGCTTGTTGTTTCCATGTCTGCATATGTCTTTTCATGTACATGTATTTTGCATGTGTGCATGAGTGAATATGTGCCATGTATATGATGTCTGAGTGCACATGTGTCTGCCTGTGTCTGTGTGAACATGTGTCATGTCCACGTGCATCTGCGTGTGTGTTTACCCGTATCTCAGTGTGCATGTGTGTTGGTGTGTGTTCTCTGTGCGTGCAGGTGTGGGTGTGCATATTCCCCACGTGTGTGTGACTGTGTAGGGGCTTCCGGAGTTCTGGCGCCAGGGCCAGTATGCACTCCTCCAGCACGTGCTCCCCAGCTCCATTGGTGCCAGCCTTCCCTCCTGGGAGTTTCTGCCAGCGGCAGCGGATGCTGGAAGGGCTGAGAGCCCCGCCTCCCCTTTCCCGGCCGAGTTGCCCTCTTTCTGGGACATCTGAGTCTCGGACTCTAGCGCACATTACCAGGAAGGGCCCTGAAGTTGGGCGGAGGCCAGCACTGAGTCCCAGCTCTGGACAGAGCCTGGAATGCACCTCCCTGTCACCTCAGGAGACTCCCGCCATGCATCTGGCTGGGGACCCAGGTCTGGTTCTGAGAAACGCCCATTCTGTGCCCCCTGCAGGAAGACCGAGCCTTCCATGTGTGAAACACCAGTGTGCCCTGCTTCCTAGCCCTGGAGTCCCAGCGCTGTGCTGGGCTTGCCGGACTCTGGCCCTGCGAGGTCGCCGGCCAACTGATGCTCACAGCATCCCCGTGGACACATAGACAGCGCTGCCAGCTCTCCACCGGGAGAAACGGGGACAGCGAGGAGGACGCATCCTGGCTCAAGTTCACACTGATGGCAAAACCGGGGTCTGGGATTTAAGCCTGGACAGTTAGGCTCCAGAATCAGATTTATCAGCCGCTTGAGAAAAAGCCCAAGTGCTTGTCATGATGGTTTCACTGAAGCTGAAGCCCACGCGCTGCTGCAGAAGCAGGTGTCTGTCCGTGTGGACGCTGTGCTGCACTGCACGGTGCCTGGGGAGCCATGCGCCACACAACTGCTGCTATGGGAGAAATTGCGGTGCAGACACAACAGCCCCTTTGGGCTGGGGACGCCAGTGCTGCCAGGAGCAGCCAGCCCACCCCCAGGGGCCCGCAGAGGTGCTGCACCACATGGTCTCAGGACAGCACCGCCAGGAGGCCAGCAGCGCCCACTCACTGCCTCCCATCCCCTATCCCCTGAGTCAGCTGAGCCCGCTGTGCTCTGCTGGGTGACCGAGACCTTGTCCCATGGTGCTGAGGGCCAGGGGGACATCACGGAGATGGAGTAGAGCCAGCGCTCTGCCAGGATTGGGAAGGTGGCCACGGGAGATTGGCAGCAGGGTTCACACCAGGGGAGGGAGATGCTGGCTTCCCTCTTGCCAGGGAGGCCACACTGTGTGTCACACGACTAGCACGGAAGCCACTCTGGCTGGCCCAGGCCCTCCCCTCGGGCCACTGATGGGACTTATTCACTGAGGCTACTCTCCTCTCTGTCATAGCAGGGTGGGGGAGTCTTATTCACAGTGAGCCCTGGGCACGAGGCTGTGTGTGTCACACATCAGGTGTGACAGCTAGGGTGGCATCTGGGGAGAGCTGGGCTGTGCCACGGTGAGGAGCAGCTCCCCAGCCCCAGCCACTTCTCTTCTGTGTTTCATGTCCATGGGCCCCAGGGTGTCACCACAGAGGTCACTCAGAGAGCTGCTGAGGGCCGTGCCCAGGGAGACCACAGGGCGGCCGTATGGCAGGCATTGTCACAGCCTGGGGTGAGGCTCGCCAGTCCCCTGGAGCACGTGAGAGGCAGGATGCACTGTGTGGACCTCCCACATCTTGTGGGGAGCAGTGGGTCCTGGGGACCCTGGACATCGGCAGCCTGCCATCGTTAGAGCTGCAGCTGCTAAGCAGACAGGAGTTTACCCCAAGCTCCCCCATCCCACATACCGGCTCCCTGGGATGCTGGGGTCGAGGCTTAGTTGGGACCTGCACAGCCATTTCACAGCAGAGAAACTGAGGCAGAGTAGCAGGGTAGAGTTGGGTTTGGACCAAACATGTGGAAGGGGGAGACCTGGGCACCAAGTATGTGGCTGAGCCGAACCCCTGGGAGTTAAGCATGGGTGGGGACAGTGCCATGGACAGCCCTCCTTCAGAGGCTGGCCAGAGTGAGGTCCTGCAGGCCAGGCCTCTGAGCCACAGGAAGCCCATGGCAGCCCCAGGATACAGTCCGGAGGTGCGTGCTAACACACCTCTGACCCGCACCCCAACCCACACCAGCAGCTGGATTGACTGTGGGGCTGCGGGGTCGGCAGAGATGCCCAGGCTTCCTGTTTGCTGCAGAGCCTGTGGTTGGGCATCAAGTCCAACAGGTAAGTGCTTGGTCCCCAGGCAGGTGACCAGGCTCGCAGGGTGCAGGAGCTGAGAGGTGAAGGTCACAGGCCACAAGTCGGGGTCCAAGGATCTACAGGGGCAGCCAGGAAGAGCAGGAGTGGAAGAGACAGACACTCGGGGAGACAGAGACACAGAGTGAGAGGCAGAGACGGAGGCAATGAGATGGAGACACAGGCTGTGCTGTGACCAGACCGGCTCCCTCCGCTGCCTGGCCCTGAGGGAGGGAGGGAGGGAAGGAGGGAGGGAGGAGGCTCACAAGCCCCTGCACACCTCTCTGAAACAGAGGTGCCACCTCCCCCGGCTCCCTGTGCTGGGGCCTTGGTGATGGTGAGGGGGGGAACAAGGGGTGCAGGATCAGCGTGCCCCAAGTCAGCTGGGGATGGTGGTACCTGGCTCTGGACCTAATCAAAGAGGGTCAGGTCTTTGAGGAGCTGCCTCTTGGGAATGAGGGGCACCCGTGCTGGAGAGGGCGCTGTGAGGTGCTCACCCAGCGTCTCTCCTGTGGAGGAGAAAGTGGTCACGAAGCAGCTCTCATTTCCCCCTCCTCAGGCCGTGTTGGCGGCCACCGTGGGCCCTCGGAAGCTGGCGGAACCAGGCACATGCCCTGTGGTTTCAGGGACCACTGCTCCTGTGGCCTGTCAGACAGGAAGGGCCCGAGGTACAGGCCCCTCAGTTTCGCTGCCCTGACACCACTTGGAGCAGCAAAGAGCAGGCGTTAGGGGATGCTGCCCTCTCAGTCACTCAGGCGCTGGTGCGGCCCTTCAGTGTGATGGGGAGCTCCTGGAACACCCCTGCCCAGGCCAAGGAATTAGGGCAGAGGCTGGTGAGCAGCCATGGTGGCCCCAGGTCGTGGGGTTCCCCGGGGCCTGACAGAAGTTGTGGGCTTAGGGTTAGGGCCCAGCTGGAAGTCAGCACAGGACAGCACTGCACTGCCCCTCTGTGAAAGAGGGACCCCAGGTACCCCTCACCCCAGCCCAGAGTGTGGCTCGCACCTGAGGGTGGACATCGTGGGGTTCCCAGTCCCATGGAGACGCTGTCTGACTTGGGGCTCAGACCACCCCTCACTTTGCCTGCCTGGGAACAGCTCCACCCCAGACTCAGGGCCAATCAAGATGCGCCATTTCACTGGCCACTGTGATTGGCTCTCAGATGGACGCCTGACCAGTCCAGGCCAATGGGATCAGGTGTGAGGGTGACAGAAGGGGGTGCTGCCCCGTCTCTCGCTGTCCTTGGTGCTGGTGCCTTTTCTGCACTCCCTTGTCAGGGTGAGTCAGCATGGGATGCTTGTCAGGTGCCTTTTTTGTTTTTTTTTTTTTTTAATCGGTACTGGGGATCGAACTCACGACCGCCTGCTTGCAAGGCAGGTGCTTATGCCACTGAGCTAAATCCCCAGCCCCTCAGGTGCCTTTTTAGCAGGGTGCCCTGTGTGCTCAGTGTGACCCTCTCCAGCTGCCGGAAGAGGGCTTCTCAGGCGCCGACAGAGCAGGGCT